GGTATTACAATAAAGCATATTAAAATGATTTAGAATTTCTTCCTCATGTTATCCTATTCACTTGGTGAGACCACAGTCAGTGGCTGCTGAAAAAGTGTTTATTAATAAAAATACAAAATTCACAGGTGCTATATTCAGGTGCTCTTTTGTGATGAATTCATGTTAACCCAACCAAAAGCTGATATCCCTGGACTATTATTTTTAAAAAACTGCATGCTGCATGTGCATGTGGGGAACATCAAAACCTGTGCTCATGAAATCAGCCTGGAACCACAATTTATGACTTATAAAAGAAATTAGGACCTACACTCAAAGGGCTGGCTATTAAATATTGTATCTTCAAAAAATCAGCATGCTGAAAAATATTTGCTATTTCATAGATAAAAATTTCAAGAGACAGAAAGGAACATAGGTCTTCAGCTTTCATAATGATGCAAAGATGCTGCTAACAAAGGCTGCTTCTGATGAACTGATTTTTCTCAAGTATTTTTAAAAGGTTAGCAGATAGAGTTAACCTTCAGAATAAGTTCAAGGATGTGTTTCTAAATGTGTGGTTTTTGTTTATCTGGAATACAGATCAAAATGCTACAGAATTGCCAAGGGAAAGTAAGCTGTTTTCCCAGTTACATTTAAATACCTTTAAAGGTATGTTTGGGGGATCTTTAAATTCTATTTTCATTTTGTTTCTGCTCAAAACAAGAGCACAAGCAGTCCATTAAGAAAAGGAAGAACAACTGAAGGTTATATAAGGACACCTTCTTCTAATCACCATGTCAATTGATACACAGTTAGAAATCTACCTCCCCCAAAAGAAAATCAATATTTATAGAACAGCTAGCATTTCAAAGATATGGTTAGCGTTATGACTACACTCTATTTTAAAGTTCTTAAGATTTTTACCTGTGACCAGTAGGGAAAAAAATGTTGCCATTTATCATGGGCTGCTCTGTGAAGAGTGGTTTCTGCTTACATCACTTCATTTCAAAGGATTTGCTAGGACAATCACATTGCCTCAAGCTGTAACAGCCCAATTACTAGTAAAAACTGCCTCAGACCTTAAGAGCCTACAGGGCTTTAAAAATCAATGATGCTCTAGTATTTGCATCCTGAAAACGGCAGCCAGAAAGCAAACTAAACAAATGTTGAAAATGTATACTTCAACACTATTTCAAAGTATTTCTATTCTTCATTCATACACCCATTTGGGAGACATAATTAGACACTGGCATTTCTATCAATATTGCCAATGGCTAATGAGCATAGGCCGAGACAATTAGTACATACAGTAAATATTCTGAACAAAAGTCAGATAAAGTAATTCACATACATAGTTATTTATACATACCATCTTAGCTTTAAATTAATGGGCGTCATGAGAAAAATAAAAATCAACATGTGAAAAAGTAGACTTATGTTAAGCTTATGGGCTCTGGTATTATGCTCTATTACAGAATGTTATTGTCTTCCTAAATTGTGCCTGTTAGACTTTTATATTAGTCCTGGCAGGTAGGATTATATACTGTGTGTGTCTATAATTATGGTGTAATCATAATGCCCTAAGAACACGAGTAAACCAATGAAACCTTCTTTTAGGATAGCAAACTCAGAGGAATGATATCACAGATATATGAAGAGTAACTTTCACTTCCCTCTTATCAGTGGGTCCTTCTTAATCAAAGGTTAGGTCAGAGAAGTAGGTTCCTAATCAGGAGTTAGGTCAGAGAGGTGGGACAAAGTTTTCCAATGTGCTGCAATTCTTGTGAGGAGTCTGGTACAGACCAGACATCCATGGAGAGTTCAGTAGAAAATAAGAAACAGAAGAGGCTTCCTTTTAAAATGCATCCATTCATTTAGTTATTCATTGGTTCTTCTAATGATTCAACACATAGCTTTTCAAGGAAGGTAAAATGACAGAAAACTTGCTAAGCACTGTAACTACAAATCTCTGAACTACTCTGGATATAGAGACAAGTAATAGACATAAAACAATATGGTACACTGTAATAATGCATTGGTATCAAAACTACAGGGAATGCACTTTTGAGAGAGAAAGAATACCCAGTTTTTTCAAGACAGAGTTGAAGCATGAAACGAACCAAGAAAATAGGTAGTATTTTATAGATTATATTGGAAGGAAACAAAGTTGCCAGAATTCAATTCATAAAGGCTCAGTACTTAAAGATCACATTTTGAACAGCTGCATAAGAGCATAAGAGGAGAATAAGACTTCTTAATAGAAGCCTTGGGTGTAAAAAATGGGAGTCTCTTCACAAAACATCTTCAGCAAATTGATAGATACAAAAAGGTCCTTCTAGAAAGCATGATAATAGTTTCCTTAGCCAGGTTATTAAGGAAGTTATGGAGAATTAGTCAGAACTCAATATAAGCTTTTTAGAGTTTTTCATAAATACATGTGTGTGTGTTTATGTGTGTATGTATATTAAAGGATGTATTTCTAAGTGTAGATGTGCACGCATGTATCTCCCTACTATACCCATACACCAACTTTTCTCCTTACAAACATTCCTGTTACCCAAGGATATGAAAAATAGAATCCCAACAATTCTGGATGATAGCAAAGAAATCCATGATTTTGGTTTTAAGAGTATCAGAGACCATCAGTGACGACTAAACTAGTTATTCACTCAAAAAAGGCTCACCGCCGTACAACCGACAGATTCTTGATTTCCCCAGTAAAACACACTTTATCTATTTTTGGATGATCTGAAAGTTGCCTAAGGCCAGAACTGTTTTTGGCATCCAATTCTAGTTTTCCAGCTTACTTCCTTTCTTTTTCCAGTGAGAAGCAATTTATTGTTTTGTGGTTTTGGTTTTGCCTTTGTGCCCATCCTACAGCAGGCAGGGTCTGTGCTTGGCAACACTGCCAGCCTGAGAGACACACAAAAACACAAATGCCCCTTAGGAAGTTCCTCAATATTTTCAGCATATTCCCCAAATGTCCTTTTTCTGCTTTCCAAAATACCTTTGTGGATTTAAATGAGCCCATTTCATAAGAACAATAAGCTTCCAAATGATATTTATTGTAATGTAAAAACTACACCTTCCAAAATATACAAACAGTCCCTGTTGAGCAACAGAAAGTCAATAGTTCCAGATAGCAAGCATTCCTTTTTACCCTTTAAACTCTAAGGCTTTCATTTCATTACAGTTTGAGAAATAGTTCTACCATTTATCTGCCTTTTTCACTCAATGGGAAATTATACAAAATCTAACACATCACTTTTTACAAATAATATTCATCATGGGTGACTATAATACACATGGTTGTAATTATTCTCAATTACTATATTCCTGAATATAAGTTGTATGTAATCACATATGGCACATTTCTTTCTTCCACTAGTCCTTTCTTTGTATTTGAGCTTATATATTTCTACAAGTAATGATTTGAATTCAGAAAGTATTATCAAAAGAAAATGAAAAGGTTATATAAATGTCACTGCCTTGCTACGCATTTTACATGTCCTTGCCAAACTCAACTCTGTGCATATCTGGACTGGCTTTCTACTGTAAAGAGAAATACATCTATGAGTGAAATAGTGTTCCTGACAATAGCTTCTTGACATAGAAGAGGCTTGAAAATGTGTGAGAAAAATCCTTCGCCTAATCACACATTTACAGAGGCATTGCTCTCATTTTTTTTCTATAGTAATACTGGATCTTAATAAGAAAGTTCATACTGCTCATTGTCCCTTTATTTGTAAAAGAAGAATTTTCACAGTCTCATATATACTTTCAGAAATCAGAGCCTGTCAGTTAGAACCCAAACTGTTTTTTTCAAACCATGCAATAGATTATAATGTAGAGAAGAGGACGTGAGCATACATTTTTGGTGTTCTTGTGGGTTACATACTGATGGCATTTATGAACACAAGGCGTATGCATAAACTATCAACATAGAATTTTAAAAATTATTTTGTTAATACAGTTGAATTCCTGTTGTATTAATTTGTGCTTTGGTCTGTTTCTCTAAACTTTGAGATCTTGAAGGCCTCTGTATCTTCTCCTTGCTTGTATCTTCTCATAACGTCTCATCTTACTTCCTTAAAAAACAACGTAATGTCTCAGACATTGTCTTTTTAAATAAGTAGTATGGTTATTGGGAAAATTCTAGAAAATTATAAAAATAAAATCATTCATAATCACTCCACCCAGGTATGGGATATTTTTTCACACTTTATTTTTTTCTCCTTTTTTAAATGGCTAGTAACATTCTTTAAAACAGTTTTTAAATTCTTTGTTAAAATATGTCTTCCTTTTAATTTTTTTAAAATAAATGTAAAAATAATTACTATGTTTTATTTTAAAAATTTAGAAAAGTGTAAGGAAAAGAATAAATTATTCATAATCCTACTATCCAGTGATAGCCTACATTTACCTCTATCTCCATATCTACCCTTTGTAACTAAAGTAGCATCATATTTTATTATCCTTTATTATGCTTTCTACATATCTATCAATGAAGAATTCACTATGTTATTTAATATTCTTTAAAAAGATAAAGTTTTATATCTGCATAATTTTCCATCCTGTATCTTTAGGAAATCATTTATGCAGTAGGGACATCTCCGTTTAAATGTTAACAAAATTTCTTACCAACTCATCCAGCTTCATTAGTAAATAAGAAAATAAAGGCTTACTTCTTTTAAAAAATTGTTTTTCTTAAATTGAGCTGATACATATTAATTAAGTTTAGATCTCTCTGTGTACTGCTTATTCCACTTTTCTGGCATAATACTTGTGCCAAGAATGAAACAAAGAAAAAGGAGTATTTAGCCATTTGAGATAAGTATAGTCCTTCTCATTTTAGATGAAAAATGACTTCATAGTACAACTTTCTCAAACATGATTTTCTGCAATATTATGGTGATAAATGACATTTTAAACTAGTAGAATAGTAGCAATAACAAAACACATATTCAGCATGTTTAATATTTTCTTTTCCCCTGCAGATGAAGAAAGATGTCAGAATTGTTTACCTGGGGATATGATATAGAAGAAATCTTTAAATTCATCCATCCAAACTTCTGCTAGTCTCCTGTTGTTTTTGTTGATGACATGGCCAGTGCCACCAGGGAAAGTGTAAGGAGTTGCCTTCCGAAAAACGTGACCAACATGGGAGCAAGTCACGATCTCCAAAGAGCCTCCACATTGCCAAATCTGGGAAAAAGAGCAATCATATCACAATCATTGTAAATAATGCAGGAATAATGTCTGACAAATAACTGAGGCTAACTAAGGCCAAATCTTTAGATCTTAGATGGTTCAAGCAAACATTAGATGGACACAAAATTTCGAACTGGTATACTTAGCTTGGCAAAGGATTGTAATTTAGAAGAGCTTGATAGATGTAAATATTGTAGTGTTGGAGTTGTGAAAGTAAATTATAATTATTTTTTTCAGGTGCCTTTGTCAAACTACCAAATTTTCAGTTTCTAGTAGTTAACCTAATCGCCATATAATAGTACTTAGTATCTAAAATCTGCTATGAATTAATGAATTTGTACATATTAGATGTCATGGTAGGTATCTAAATTTGATTTGGAGAAAAATCAATTATACTCCACTTGTCTGCAATTTTAAATGATTATTAATTCTCAGCTATCTTATATTCCTGGAATCTTATACCTTTGGGTATGTTATTCTTATAAATGTGCTAGGCCTCCTTTATATCTGTTCACCATCTTTCCATCCTTCCAAATCTATCTCCAAGATCATTTCTTCTAAGAGGTTCTGTAGGGAGGTTTTGTAATTGTGACTTTTGTACTTTGAACATCCTTTCATGAAGAAGTGACTACTCTGTCTTGCAAGCAATTGTTTACTTCATTATCTCTCTTTTAAAACTGTAAACTCTCTGGCTAAAATGAGCAAATCAGAGAACTCTAGATGCTGGCGAGGATGTGGAGAAACGGGCACCCTCCTGCACTGTTGGTGGGAATGTAAACTGGTACAGCCCCTCTGGAAAACAGTGTGGAGGTTCCTCAGGAAACTAACAATAGAACTCCCCTATGACCCAGCAATAGCACTGCTAGGAATTTACCCAAGGGATACAGAAATGCTGAGGCATAGGAGCACATGTACCCCAATGTTCATAGCAGCACTCTCCACAATAGCTAAAACATGGAAAGAGCCTAAGTGTCCATCAACAGATGAATGGATCAAGAAGATGTGGTTTATCTATACCATGGAATACTACATGGCAATGAGAAACAATGAAATCTGGCCATGTGTAGCAACATGGATGGACCTTGAGGGTGTTATGCTGAGCGAAATAAGTCAGGCAGAGAAGGACAAATATCATATGTGTGCACGTATAGGAGGATTAGGAGGAACTTGACGGAGGAACAAGGGGGAGAAGAAGGGCGGAAATGGTGGGGGAAAGGGAGAGAGGCAAACCATGAGAGACTCTTGAATGCTGACAAAAACTGAGGACTGATGGATGTGGGGGGGAGGGGGGGATGGGCATGGAGGAGGACACTTGTGGGGATGAGCACTGAGTGTTATGTGGAAACTAATTTGAGAATAAACTATTTGTAAAAAAAATAAAAAATAAAAAATAAATAAAACTGTAAACTCTCAGGAAACATGCCCTATATTTCTTGGTATCCTAGATTTATTGTGCAGTTGAGGCTAATTATTAAGTATCCCTAACAAATTTATTTCTATAAAATTACAGTATTTAGCTATAGGTTATACATGCATGCATATGTGCATGTGTATATGCATGCCATCTATAAAATATACTAATATATACAAACATCCACACACATACAACATAAAATACACACTCATATGTATATGTTTATTACCTACACGTAATATATTGCATATGTGTTACAGGTTGATTATCCCAGTAAACAAGAGTCATGGTTATCATTACATATTGGAAGGATTGTTTTTTTAAAACGTTTATTTATTTTAGAGCGAGAAAGGGAGAGAGAAAATGAGTGGGGGAGGGGCAGAGAGAGATGGAGAGACAGAATCCTAAGCAGACTCTGCACTGTAAGTTCAGAGCCCCATATGGAGTTTGAACTAGTGAACCGGGAGATCATAGCCTGAGCCGAAATCAAGAGGTGGATGCTAAACCAACTGAGCTACACAGGCTTCCCTGAAAGGCCTGGGTTTTATATGGTAATTAACATTGTTCCACTTTTAAGGAGAATTGCTTATTTTGAAAGAAAAAATTTTCTCCAGTTGACCTCTCAAGCACTATTCATCTTAGAAGAGGGTTGTTATTGAGCCTGGTCAGCAATAAGAGACATTCATTTTACCAGAAGATGGAAGATGCTAAATAACAAGTTATATTCAGCAACACTGGCTTGTACATTACATGTGCAATCTATTCTTTCTCATTTTCTAATTGTCTAAACAGCATAATGCTAACAGTAAAGAAGTTTCAACCTAACACTAAAATGTAAGTATAAAATATAACTGAAATACAAAAGAAGAATGGAATTCACTCTGACCCTGAAAAGACAGAACTTTCTTAAATAATCAAAGTATTTAATCTATTAGTAATTCTTTCATCTTTATAGCATTAAATCCATAAACCTTCTGGGAATTATGAAATCCTTACATTGTTCTATTCCATTAAAAGAGGAGGAAGTTGATTCTTCTATCAAAGACAAATCAATACTTGTATGTCAGTCAAACTTATGCCTAAGTTTGTCTTAAGAACTAACTTCACTGGTCTGGTTTTCTCTTTGATTTTCTCCTGATACATTGATAATTTTGCTCATTACTAGATTATGACTACCTTCACATAATATCTGCCAAAATCACTTATATTTTATTAATGCTTATTCATTTTTGAGAGAGAGAGAAACAGAGTGTGAGCAGGGAGTGAAATCTTAAGCAGACTCCAGGCTCTGGGCTGTCAGCACAGACCCTGAAACAGGGCTCAAACCCATTAAGAGTGAGATCATGACTTGAGCCAAAGTTGGTGCTCAACTGACTGAGCCACTCAGGCTCCCTACTTCCTTTCAGTCTTTTTAATCATCAATAAATGGTGCTACCACTCACTCAGGTGGTCAATACAATAAATAAATAAATAAATAAATAAATAAATAAATAAGAAAACAGAAGCATTTCCCTGCTGCCAAACCCTAGAAATCTATTGATTTCTCCTTTTCCCATCACTTATATTTATTTATTATTTATTTAACGTTTTATTTTATTTTTTGAGAGACAGAGAAAGACAGACTGTAGGTAAGGGAGGGGCAGAGACAGGGGGAGACACAGAATCCGAAACAGGTTCCAGGCTCTGAGCTGTCAGCACAGAGCCCAATGAGGGGCTCGAAACCAGGAATGCGAGATCATGACTTGAGCCAAAGTCGAATGCTTAACCCACTGAGCCACCCAGGCGCCTTCTCCATCACGTATACTTAATCTGATAAATCCTGGCTTTGCCATCTGTAAAAAGAATTCTCAGCATACCCATCTCTCCCGCTCTGTCACCATCCTTGTCCTAATCACCAACATCTCTTGTGGGTCAACTGCAATAGAATTTTAACTGCCTTGCTCTCTCACTGGTGCTTTCCTATAATTTGTTTTGTACTGAGAAATCAGAGTAGTTTTTAAAAAATGTAATCATTTCATTTTACTTCAGTGTTTAAATACTTCAATGGTTTCTCACTGAACTGTGAATATAAACAAAATCCTTTAGCCAGGGCCTCCCAGACCCTACATGATTCTCTCCCTCTATCAAGAAGCACTGGTGACACTGGCCCTCTGCCATTTCCTAGAATAGCAAATCTCACATTCTTTCACACACCGAAGCCTCACCAAGGGCTTTCCCTAAACCTGAATACAATTCTGTTTGCCCTTCACCTGACTGCCTCTTTCCCATACTTCTTATCTCAGCTAAAACAACACTACATCAAAGAGCTCTTCCCTAATTTCTATATTTAAAGGGTCCCATCCAGGGGCGCCTGGGTGGCTCAGTTGGTTGGTCATCCGACTTCGATGCAGGTCATGATCTCATGGTTCATGGGTTTGAGCCCAGCATCGGGCTCTGTGCTGACAGCTAGCTCAAAGCCTGGAGCCTCCTTCAGATTCTGTGTCTCCCTCTCTCTCTGACCCTCCCCTGCTCACGTTGTCTGTATCTTTTTTTCAAAAATAAATAAAACACTAAAAAAATAGAGAAAAATAAAATAAAGGGTCCCATCCCAGTTATTTTCTGCAATAGCACTCTGTTTATTTCCTTCTTGGCTTATCACAAACTGTAATTTATTTCTTTATCTGTTTTGCTGTGCACTTTCCCCCCCAGCTGGCATGTAGACTCTAAAAGGGCAGTGGAGCTATCTGGTCACTGTTGTATCCCTGAGACAAGCTCACTGTTTGTGACACAGGAGGTGTCATTGCATGTTCATTGAATGGAAAAATGGATATGGATAACTCAAAATTAAATTCCCTGATTAATATAAAAATAAGCATTCCTGGCAGATGATGAGATGAAGTAGACATATTTTTAAATATATACATATATATGTTAATGTTTTATTTATTTCTGAGAGAGAGAGAGAGAGAGACAGCATGAGCAGGGGAAGGTCAGAGAGAGAGTAAGATACAGAATCTGAAACAGGCTCCAGGCTCTGACCTGGCTGTCAGCACAGAGTCCAACGCGGGGATCGAACCCAGAAATGTGAGATCATGACCTGAGGCGAAGCCAGGTGCTCAACCAGCTGAGCCACCCAGGCACCCCTCGAGATAAAGTAGACATATTTTGAAGGGTTCTTAAATAGCATTTTTAAAGGAAATACTCTGAGTATCAATCTAAGTAGAGTGGTCTACTAAAATCAAATGCACTGGCTATTTCACATGCCTTAGGGATTGAGGGGTTACAACACAAAAAGTTAACATTAGAAATGGTTGATGGCTTATGACAAGCAAGGTTGCTAAATGATACAATCTTCCCTTTTAATATTATTAAAATAATCCTTTGAATAAATTCACATTAACTCTCTCTTAAAAGCATGATTTTGTGAAGTACTCAGGTATTTGTACTGTGACCAGCACATTCCACAATGTATCCCAAGTTCAGAAGACATAGCATATGATGTGTTTCACTTGGAGGGAATTTCAGATATTCTCTTCTTTGTGCCCCCTCCTCTTCTATGGATTAGACATGAATGAAGAGCTTCTTTCTTCCTTCAATCAAC